GGAATAACCAAAACAGACGTTGGGAATGAAATGATAATCCTTATAGCATCAACAAAATACAATACTCGCCAGCGGCGTGAAGTAGGGAAACCACTGCTAGTGGTAGACTACATAGACTGCATATTAACCCAACTTACAATACTGTCCAACACCCATTAGTGTTCATAGGTACAGTATATAACATATGAAAAGCTATTTTTACACTTTGAGCCAGTTTGGGGGTTAACTATTTGTCTATAGCTGGGACACTAACAGGTGCTACCACCCCAGGAACACCTGCAATTAAGACATGGTTTCACACTCCTCAAAGCTTCTGATCAGAGGTTTTGCTGCTGGATGTAGTTTATCGTCATACCCAGGATGCGGATGTAGTTTATCGTCATACCCAGAACGCTTCATTGGGAGAACCCGGCGTGTTCTGAAGCCCCAGCCGCCAGGGAATTATGCAGTAAGTCTGCGGGTTTTTACAGTCCCGACCTACTCTAGTCTCAACCGAATTAAATATAGAGATACATGTCAACAAATTAAGATAGATTGATAGATGGTTGTCAACAAATATATAGATAGATGTCAACAGAATTAAATAGATGTGGACAGAAATAGATATGTATATAGATGTGAACAGAATTAAACAGATGGATAGATGTCAACAGAACTAGATAGATATCATCAGAAATATATAAATAGATGTGAACATAATTAGATAGATATGTAGATGGATAGATAGATAAATATAAAGATGCCAACCGAAATAGATAAAGAGATATATAGACGTCAAACATATAGATAGATATTTCAACCAGAAATATTTCATTATTCTTTCATTATTAATTTATGAACACAGAGATATATTTGTCAGCTGAATTACATTGATTGATAGATGTCAACAGAATTACATTGATTGATATATGACAACAGAATTAAATAGAGCGGCAGATGTCAACAGAATAAGATAGATGTCAAGGGAATTATATAGATAGATAAAGAGATAGATATCAACAGAATTAAATATATAGAGAGAGCGATGTCAACAGAATTAGATTGATAGATGGTTGTCAAAAGAAATAAATAGTCAAAAGAATTAAATAGATAGATGTGGACATAAATAAACAGGTAACTAGATGTCAAGAGAATTATATAGATAGATGTCAACAGAATTAAATAGATCTGGACAGAAATAGATAGCTTACTAGATGTCAACAGAATTATATAGATAGATTGATGTCAACAGAACTGGATAGATCTCAACAGAACTGTATAAATAAATGTGAACATAACTAGATAGATATGTTTATAGATAGATAAATAGAAAGATGTCAGCGGAAATAGATAAAGACATATATAGATGTCAAAGATATAGATAGAAAAATAAATAGATATCAACAGAAATAGGTAAATGGAGATATCGATGCCAAAGATATAGATAGATAAATGGAAAGATGTCAACAGAAATGGATAAAGAGATATATAAATGTCAAAGATATAGATAGATAAATAGAAAGATGTCAACGGAAATAGATAAAAAGATATATAGATGTCAAAGATATAGATAGATAAACAGATAGATGTCAACGGAAATAGATAAAGATATATATAAATGTCAAATATATAGATAGATAAATAGAAAGATGTCAACAGAAATAGGTAAATAGAGAGATAGATATCAACAGGTAATTTATTTCTAATTTTTCCAGAAATTTTGACTAGATAGATATCAATAAAATTAAACAGATGTCAACAGAATGAGAGATAGATAGATATCTACAGAATAAAATATATAGATGAATGTCTACGGAATGAAATATATAGATAGATTTTAGTTCTGGTGAGATTGATTGAGAGCCTACGAGGAGACATACATGAATAAATAAACCTATATGTTGTCATCAATATACAAGTAATTTACTAGAAAGTCAGGCAATTTCAAGATGAAAATATCACTTAGTTAAAAATGTATTTTCTGCTTCTTCCTTAGCTGATAATTCACGCTAACCGTACTGCTCACAAAGGTTATGGCAATACCTTTACTGCATTTCCTAGTGTTGAACTCCTCCGAATCTTTGGCTAGTACCTCCTATCTCAGTGATTATGACATATGCTAAGGTTGTGTTTTAAGCAACTTTGAAGTGAACGCATTTTTGCCTTGTTTACAAATTATAAGTCTTTCTGACAAGCGGAGCACAAGAAAAAAAAGCAAGTTTTCCCTATCATTATGTTAAGTCTTATATTTTGATGGTCAAGGAGTCGATGACATGAGACGTAATTCTGCCAGCAGTCTCCATCCAGTCGGTTTTGTGAATGCGACGCTAATGAATCCAGACGGTTAGTCATCGAGCTTCACTGAACACAGAGCTTGGTTTTCTCGTTTAATGTTGAATAATCCATGTTTTACCGCCTAAAAGGTCAAATAATTACTGGTGATGGAATCTTACAAGAGATCTGAAAAAGACCCGAGGAATGTACATTTAATAGACCTATCTATGTTTCAAGTACTATACATGGATTCAATTATATATATATATATATATATATATATATATATATATATATATATATATATGTGTGTGTGTGTGTGTGTATATGTATATATATATATATATATACATATATATATGTGTGTGTGTGTGTATATATATATATATATATATATATATATATATGTGTGTGTGTGTATGTGCGTATGTGTGTGTATATATACACATACAAGAACACACATATATATATATATATATATATATATATATATATATATATATATATATATATATATATATATAGAGAGAAAGAGAAAAATTTCTGTTCATAGAGTTTTAGAAAAAAATCGACCTGAATATTTTTTCAGTTGAGCATCTCGGAGAAAGCACATAAGTAACAGTAAACACACACACACACACACACACATATATATATATATATATATATATATATCAACCGAATTAGATATAGATATACATGTCATCAAAATAAGATAGATTGATAGATGGTTGTCAACAAATATATAGATAGATATCAACAGAATTAAATAGACGTGGACAGAAATAGATAAGTAAATAGATGTCAACAGAATTAGACAGATATCAACTGAATTAAACAGATGAATAGATGTGAATATAACCAGATAGATAGGTAGATGAATAGATGTGAACAGAAATCGATAAATAGATATAAAGAAGTCAGCGGAAAATATTTATTGGGGAAAATGTATGACAAAGTGGGAAAAGTTTTCACATGAAGCATTTCGCTCTTTTGGTCTTCATTGGACTTATGTTATGTCTAAGTTGATGCTACTACGCATGCGCGGGAACGAAAGTGGATGCTGGGAACTGTCGTGTGCATTTAAGTCACTGTTTAAATAGTTCAATTTACCCAAAATGTTGGTGTAATGGATAATGGCCCGGAATCGTTAATCATAGAGGTGAGTTCCAATTCCAATCGCTTTAGTTATATTCACTTACGTGCAGATACTCTTTGGAACGCTATGAAACCACCTCTTTACTCCAGCTATGGGTTAATTAGTAGCATTTATATCAGTAGGCCATTATTATCCTCATAAAATTTTTACAATCAAAAATTTTTTTCTGGATTTTGATAGTTTTCAAAGGATTGATAAACCGTAAAAAACGAAAGAATCTGTGTATGAAAATCATAACATTAATATAGTGCAATTTGCTAGCTTTGTTGAGTAAGACTAAATTGCGAATGAACAAAAACTTGTATTTGTCTATATCTCTGAGATGAGGTATTATGATTATTTACATTGTTATCTTCAATTTCATTGCCATATTCACAACGTTTTGGCTGTTGTATGCTTCGGTCTTCTTTAGGTTATTTGAATTTCGAAGTGAACCGGGGTAGATTTATCCAGTGGATAAAGGTGTTGGTTAGATCCAGTAACTAGACCCAAAGAGTTGTGAGTTCAATACACTTGAAAAGCTGAGTTAAAGGTAAATAATTGAAACACTAGAAAAATCTACTCCGGTCGACGAAATAAAGAGTTCGGTTGAAATTCCAATTTTCTGAGGAATGCCGCAGCGTACAACGGTCGAAACATTGTCCATTTTGCAATTAAGATAACAGTCAGAATAATGTAAATAATGTAAATGAAAATCTGTATGACATAAAAATGTTAGTCCGAAGATTGATTCGATTACACTGTGTTACAGGATTCTTCGGCTTGGGGAGCAACTGTTATTTTCTATTTGCTTACTCCTGGAAAGTATGATAAATGGCTAATATTTCCTTCAAACATCGTCTTGTGACCAGGATAATGATATTTCTGAAATTTTCTTATTCCCATTGGAAAAATTGGCCAATGTAAACATTCTCGTCCACGTAAAGTAAGAACAAAACGACATATGATTCAAGATTAGCATTTATTTATTCTATGAATACCCAAAAGAGACCACAAAAAGAGTAGTTTTTCGTGATTTACGCTTATAGTATAAATTACTCTCACGAATCAGCCCTCAAATATAATCTCCCATCAGGTTTTTGTTATAAGACTCTTGGTAGTGGCGTTCATTGTCCGGTATATACTGGTGAAATCAGTCGCCTTGCTCATCTAAGTATGCCGCCATGTTTTTCTTGAATTTATTATGATGAGCGTCAAGGAAATGGAAATTTGAGAGATATCCTGTAGTCCATTTTGCCGTATTTCATATACAGGGTCTCAACAAGCTTCACATAGTTTTCGGCCTTTAGACTCTCCAGGAATCACCGAACCACTGTCTCAAATTTGTTTTTTCTGTCCTAGTGAGTTTCTTGAAAAAAATCCTTGCACACTGTGATCTTTTATTCTTTTTTTTTTTTTTTTTTTGTGGTCTGGCAAATACACCGGCTTTGACTTTTTGTGCAGTCAGCTTAAGAAAGAAGTCTTGAAGGTACTTGGAAGCTGGAGACTACTTTATTTAGAGCTGTAACAAATTGTCTGATAAGGCCCAATTTTAAGTATAGTGAAGGAAATAATACTTTTGGCTCCCATTGTTCCTTTCCACACTGAA